TTTCTAAATTTTCCTGGGTCCTGATTTGTTTTGGCTAGATTTTTTGAAGTGTATTTTTAAGGATTTTCTAAAAACTCTGGAACCTTTTTTTCTTTTGGGTTTTCTAAATTGTCTGGAGTCCAATTTTTTTGGATTTTCTGAATTTTCTGGATTCTATTTTTTTGCTTTCAGAATTTTTCTGGATTATTTTTTTAGGTTTCTGAATTTTCTGGATTCTGAATTTTCAAAAATTTCTAGATTCCAGTTTTTTTTTGGTTTTCTAAATTTTCTAGAATCTATTTTTTTGATTTTCTGAATTTTCTGGATTCTGAATTTTCCAAATTTTCTAGATTCCAGTTTTTTTGGTCTCTAAATTTTCTAGAATCTATTTTTTTTAGATTTTTTGAATTTTCTGGATTAGAAATTTTCTACTTTTTCTAGATTCCAGTTTTTTTTGTTTCTAAATTTTCTATAGAATCTTTTTTTTTAAAAAAAAACTGAATTTTCTGGATTCTGAATTTTCTAAATTTTCTAGATTCCATTTTTTTTGGTTTCTAAATTTTCTGGAGTCTATATATATTTTTTGATTTTCTGAATTTTCTGGATTCTGAATTTTCTAAATTTTCTAGGTTCCAGTTTTTTTGGTTCCTAAATTTTCTAGAATCTATTTTTTTAGATTTTCTGAATTTTCTAAATTTTCTAGATTCCATTTTTTTTGGTTTCTAAATTTTATAGAATCTATTTTTTTAAAGATTTCTCATTTTTTTTGCGGATTTTGAATTTTGTAGAGTTTCTGGATTCTATGTGTTTGTTATTTTCTGCTTGTTCTGAAATTTCTGAATTCCGAATTTTCTGAAATTCTGAATTTTCAGAATTCTTTTCTACATATATATATATAGATATTAAAAAATCTCTGAAAATTCTGAATTTTCAGACCTTTCTGAATTTCTGAATTTTCAGAATTTCTGAATTTTCTGGATTCTGATTTTTATAAATTTTCTAGACTCCAGATTTTTTTGTAGTTTCTAAATTTTCTGGATTCTATTTTTTTTGATTTTCCGAATTTTCTGGATTCTATTATTTCTTGCTTTTACAAAATTTATGGGTTATATGTTTTTAGATTTCTGAATTTTCTGGATTTTGAATTTTCTATATAAATTTTCTAGGTTCCAGTTTTTTTTGGCTACTATATTCTGGAATCTATTTTTTGAAGATTTTCTGAATTTTCTGGATTCTGATTTTCCTAAATTTTCTAGATTCCAGTTTTTTTGGTCTCTAAATTTTCTAGAATCTATTTTTTTTAGATTTTTTGAATTTTCTGGATTAGAAATTTTCTACTTTTTCTAGATTCCAGTTTTTTTTGTTTCTAAATTTTCTAGAATCATTTTTTTTTAAGATTTCTGATTTTTTTGCGGGTTTTGAATTTTCTAGAGTTTCTAGATTCCAGTTTTTTTGGTTTCTAAATTTTCTGGATTTTTTTTAAGATTTCTCAATTTTCTAAATTTTCTAGATTCCAGTTATTTGGGTTTCTAAATTTTCTAGATTTTTTTATGATTTTCTGATTTTTCTGGATTCTGAATTTTCTAGATTTTCGGGATTCCATTTTTTTTGGTTTTCTGGATTCTATGTTTTTTTTGGTTTCTGAATCTTATCGATTCTTTTTTTTGTTTCTATAGAAAGTTTCTGTTTTTTATTTCCTGATTTTCTGGATTCTGAATTTTCTAAGTTTTCTGGATGCTATTTTTTGTGAATTTATGATTTTTTGGGATTCAGATTTTTTTTGTATTAAAATATGTTCTGACTTTTCTGGATTTTGACTTGTCTGGATTTTCTCAGGTTTCAGTTGTCCTTTTCAAGAACCTGAATTTTCAGAAAATTTTCCTTTTTTCAAGATAAATTGGCTTAAAGGCTTCAAGTAGGGTCCGTTTTGGGACCTTTCCTTAACTGGAACGTTCCTTTGCAGGATTCCTGAAAAGGATGGCTCCTGTAAAGGAAAGTTCCAGTAGAGGAAAGTTCCTGAAAAGGATGGTTCCTGCAGAGGAAAATTCCAGCAAAGGAGGGTTCCTGAAAACTATGGTTCCTGTAAAGGAAAGTTCCGAGCAAAGGAGAGTGCCTGAAAGCCATGATTCCTGTAAAGGAAAGTTCCAGTAAAGGAGAGTTCCTGAAAAGGATGGTTCCTATAAAGGAAAGTTACAGCAAAGGAGAGTTCCTGAAAAGTATGGAATCTCCTTTTACTGGAACTTTCCTTTACATCAATCATAGTTTTCAGGTATCTATTTCTCCAACTATTCCTGGGCAGCAACCATTTTCACCTCAGATCATTTGGTGTTTGTTGCAATCCAATTCTGTTATTCAATCGAAAAAAACATGCATTTCACTTATTTTCACTTATCTTCACTTATTTTTACTTAGTTTCACTTATATTTACTTATTTTCATTTAGTCTTCTACTTTATTTGATTATAATTTCATTATTATATTATAAGTTCACTTAAAAACCAAGTGGAACTTAAAATAACTTAATTTTACTAATACAATTTAAACAAGATGTTAGCAGGATACTAGCAACTTATCAGATACTTATAAATTCATTAAGTGCCTGAAGTGATTATAACTAAATTTAGAGGTCTTAGTAGTGGATGGTGGTGGGGTTGTCTTTTGCTTATTATATAGGTTTTATAGCTGGAAATTGCCGCTGACCCCGCCTCTGAACTTGATGTGAAAGATCTTGAAGCTTCCGGACTCTTGGTCTTCTCGCAGTGCAGGTTGTAGGTCCAGGCACTTTTACAGCGCCCTTCAAGTCCAACCCTTGCAGCGCTCTTACAGCGCTGTTTGGACACTTTTACACCATCCGGGGATTAGCACTTTTACAGCGCTAAGAGCCCGCTTGGACACTTTTACAGCATCCGGGGATTAGCAGCTTTACAGCACTAAGAGCCCCCTGAGCTCAGTTTTGAGACGAGCGACCGACGGTGAAGATGCCCTGAGAGTTCAAGGGTGAGCACTGCACAGGAAAATTAAAACAATGTGCCACCATTATCGAATACCTTTGGCAAGTATGTAGCAACACCAATACCGATGTCTCAGTTTCCCTCTCATTATCTTTAGACCTATATATAAAATTGTTTGGCCAAATGTTTACAGCAAACTGTGGAAATTGTTTTCAATTTGGAAGCCACTTTTACAGCAGCAACCGGAAGATGCAGCGCTAAGTTCTCATTGCCAGCACAAGTTGCAATTGAGATGTGGTCCAAAGCACACATGGCTTGAAGGCTGCAGGCCAGCAGGAAACAACGAAACCAAACATAGAAATACCCATTAAATTGAATCTGATTGATTGTTTTTGCCTTAGTGTATTTGTTTGGTCGCCCTGCCCCTCCCCTCCTTCAACTTCTGTGTCTGTCCGATATGGGCTGCAGCATCACAAAAGATCAATGTTTTCTGTGGTGGCACGTTGAACAGAGGCAACCACAAATGACTTTAAAACTCCATAATGCCCAAATATTTACACCAGTGTCAGACAAATAAAATGGATGCTTCTACAGCATCCGGGAGAATTAAAAAAAGGGCGCTGCAATATGAACTATGATAGATATTTTTTGCACGGACCTGGAACTTACATGAGAAAATTTGCTTTGCACATTGTATGAGATGACTTTTGAGTAATGGAGAAGAAACATCAAAAACAACATGTTGTTTGAACAGCACGCTTTTGAGTCATAGCGGACACTTTTACGGCATCACAGGGAAAAATGCGAACAGATGCCCCACCTACCTTTTAAAATGACTTGCGACATGTGGTAAATTTTGATCTTCACAGTTTTGTTTCTTGATTTTTTCTAAGAACCACACACAGAAAACCCATCACCGGAAACCCACATCAAAAACAACATGTTGTTTGAACAGCACCCTTTTGAATCATAGTGGGCACTTTTACAGCATCCCATGGAAAAATGAACTGATCCCCACCCATTTCTTCAAATAAAAAAGTGAACAGATCCCCCTAGCATTTTTTTCAATGACTTATGACATGTGGAAAACTATGATTTTCACAGTTTTGTTTCTTGATCTTTTTCTAAGGATAAAAAACAATCACCAAAAACCAACATCAAAAACAACATGTTACTTGAACAGCACCCTGTTTGAATCATAGTGGACACTCTTACAGCATACCATGGAAAATTGTGAACAAATCCACCACCCATCTTTCTAAATGACTTGTGACATTTGGTAAATTTTGGTCTTCACATTTGTGTTTCTTGATATTTTTCTAAGAATCATAAATAGAAAAACCATCACCAAACACCAGCATCAAAAACAACATGTTGTTTGAACAGCACCCCTTTGAGTCATAGTGGACACTTTTACAGCATCCCATGGAAATTGTGAACAAATCCCCCACCAATCTTTTGTAATGTCATATGACACGTGGTAAATTTTGATCTTCGCATTTTTGTTTCTTGATTTACTCTAAGAATCACAAATAGAAAAATCATCACCCGCTATTTGTGGAAAATGTTGACCTTCATATTTTGTGTTTTTTGATTTTTGTTGAGATTTAAAAAGTATCATCACCAAAATCAAAATGGTAAAAGGTGGCAAGGGCTTAAATCAGCGCCAAGATAATGGAAAATCCTATTGAAATGGATGATTTGGAGGTACCTTCATTTTAGGAAACCCTATGTGAAGGAGATTGGGAGTAGCAACTTGAGATCCGATGAAAGATTGAGACAATGCCTTGGGATGATCTTATAGGATGATTCATGGTGTTTGATGGAATAGTACAGTGAATTGAACATGGTTAAGCTGATTTTTACCAAAGAACGTTGTCCATAAACAGGGGTGTTCCATATATATATATATGCTGATATATATATATATGCTGGCTGACCGTAATACGGTGCTGCCAGTCATGCAATCGGAAAGGTGCAATCCTGTTCCCGTTCCAATGCAAGTATAGTCCCCGAACTAATCATCAATCAACAGGGCTTTTGAACACTGCTCAAGTGGTATCCGAGTCACGTGGACGCGACGGCCCAGCCCAAGGAGAGAAGAAAGTCACCTCGTTTTTCCACGGCGTGTCCAGTCGCTGTGGGACAGTCATCAAAAGACTAGGGAAAATGTCAATAAAAAATGGGACAACGAAGCAGAGTGGTGATAAATGTGGATATATGCAAATATGTGTGTGATGTATTATATGGATATTTTTATGTGGATACAATGGGAATGTAAACCACTAATATTATGATTCTTGGGTGCTTCTGAAAATGGAGTAGTCTTCTTAGCCATCACTGTACCAAAGGAGGAATATCAGCTCGTGTGAAAATAGTGTACAGTACCCCATAAACAGGGGTAATTTGGGTGTATCCATGAACCTGCGGTTCATCTTGTAATTTGTCCAGGAAATTGTACACTTAAATTTGAATTTATCATTGGAACCTGTTTTGTAGATTTGCGCCATTTGCGTTGGTTGACATTTGATGTCTATTGACTCGAATAATCTCGAATCCTATTTCAAGCAAAGATCTGACAGCAAACAGAAAAAGTTGTATCTATATATTTGTGGGTGTGTATAACATATATATATATACATCTACATATACATACATACATATGTATATATACATATATATACACATATTTCTACATTCATATATGTAAACGATTCCTCTATATATATATATACATATATGTATGTAAACAATAAATACATATACACATATACATACATGTATGTAAAGTGTATACATATAAATATTTATATATATATATATACATATGTGTAAAAAAAAAAACGTGTATGTATATATATATATATGTATACATATAAATATACATATACATGTACATGTATATGTACATATGTGAACAATATATATATATATACACATACAATCAAATATGTATACAGTACATATATATATATATATATGGTCCCGTCCTCCGTCCTCCGTCTCTCCCCCCACCCACCCCATGGGTTGGGGAGGGGGTGGGGGGGTGGGCCACTACCAGCCACAGGGGGGGAAGGGGCAAGATCTCATATGGGGGCATATATATATACATATAGTATATATATATATACATATATATTTGCACATATTTATATATATATATATATACACACCATATATATTTATACATATATATATATTTATTTATTTAAATTATGTATGTCGTATAAGTATAAAGCATATACTATACTTGCCTAACACTACTAAATATTACATACAGAAAACCTAACACTACATGCCTAACACTACACACCTAATAGATACCTTGTATAACCTAATACATGCCTGATATACTACCCATTGCATGCCTATATACCTGTACACCTACATTATTTACACCCGTGTGTAATTCCCAATACTATATACTATACACCTAATATCTGTTGACTACCAATTTACAAAACTACCATCCCCCACCACCACAGCCAGGGAGGGGGAGTATACCACCCCCCACCACCACATCCATTACCACAGGGGGAAGGGGGCGTATCCACCCCATGGGGCGGGGAAGGGGGGGGTGGCAGGGCCTGGAGCATATATATATATGTATACATACAATCAAATATGTATACAGTACACATATATATGATATATGTATATACTGTACATACATAGTCAGCGGCCCTTTCATGGCCTATCTTGAAACCACTGGGTGTTCCCATAACGTTTCAGTATATTGCGAACACATGTCATTATGTCTATAAATACAAACATATATATATAGTTTTATCTATTTACACCCAAAAACAAAAACATATACCGCAGGCGTGTTATATCTATGAGTGTACATATCTGTCGTATCTTCCAGCATCAGGCGCATCATTCCTGCAGCAATGCGGCGCCACTGACTGTGAAGGAAATGTTTGTGGTTGCCACGCTGCCAGCTGCCGCCATGACAAAAGATGACACACCTAAGCAATCCGAGCTGCATGGCTGACCGTGGATACCTGTCAGAAGAGTACCGATAAACGTTGTTGACAAGGAGATGTAAGCGTACAAACGGTGTTTGACCTGTTTGTAAAAAAAGGAATTAACCTTAGATATCCTGAACACAACAAACGGTTGGCAGGAGATGAGCAAAACTAGTAACTAATGGTTCCCAGGAGATGCTACAGGCATCTGGTTATTATCTAAGCATGTTGGAATTATCCATAAGAATATGTCAAATTCAAAAAACATATGCATTGCACATGATGCATATAGTCATTGCGGCAATCATCGATGAAAAAATGTGATAGTTCCAGTAGTTGCACAAATGTTATCACTGGGATTTGACAGCCAACACGGATCCTGCGTCATGTGTAGAAAACTCGACATCATTCGCTCGCTCATTCATTGAAAACGGTCTTTGTTGTTGAAGGTCCCATCTGATTCACATGGTTCATGAGAAATCACTCCAATTCAAGTGATCCTCACCAACTAACTTGTTTAAAACATTTTATGTCGCATTCTCTCTGACAAGTTATCTGGCAGATATGCTTGCATTTTATCTGATATCTGTTCTGGCATTCGATCTGACATATATTTTGACATATTATCTGACATTGCCTCACATATTCTGGCATCTGATCTGGAACTCTATCTGACAAATATTCAGACATGTTATTTGGCGTGCATATTCTAGCATTCTATCTCACAAAACTCCGATGTATGTTCTGACACTCCGTTTGACATTTATTCTGACAATTAGTCTGACATCTTTTCTTGGCATTCTATCTGACATTGCATATGACATTGAGTTTGACATGTACTTCCACATTTTTGAACGCATCCTATCTGACACTGTGTATGACTTTGAATCTGGCATATGTTCTGACATTTGGTCTGACATATATTCAAAGGATTCTATCTGACGTATACTCTGACATTCATAGATTCAGACATTTTATCGCAACATTTATTCTGAGATTCTATCTGACATGTCTTTTGTAATTTGACATTTGATTTGGCATTCTATCTGACATGTGGCTTCTGGCAATCTATCTGACATTGCATGTGACGTTGAGTTTGACATCTATTCAGACATTTCATTTGACATATATCATATATAAGTATATGATATTATATATAGATATATTGATGTTCTACATGTCTTCTGTCTATCTGACTTTTTTCTGTCGTTCGATTCTACATTTTATCCGTTGTTGCGAGGAGGCAGTTTTTATCACCCCGATGAAGAGGATGGTTAAAGTTAAAGCCCCATGTTGCCGGTGGGCTTTATGTGTCCTTTTTGGGTTCTGCTCAAAAATCACATCTTTGTTGCCAAACTATGCGAAATCACAAACTATGCAGGCGAAAAGCACGTGTTTCAATAGTAAAATCCCATTTTGTTATGAACAAATGTTCTTTTTCCATAGTAAAATCCACTGTCACGGTGAAGTTTGATTCGTTCATGGTAGAATTTTCATGAATGTTCTATTGTTCATGGTGAAAGTCCCAATCTTTTCTGGTGAGTTGGGCGCACTTTTCTGGTTGAAAACGAGGGAACGCAGGGAATTGATTTTTCAAAGAGAAACATCACAAAGCACTGTAAGTGCCAGTCTTCTATGCACTTGAGCGCAGTGAAACCTAGAAGGAACGCAAATATTGAGCCTTGGATAGCCTTGGTCTTTTCATGAAAGACACAACCACCAGATGCACAAAATCTGCACAAGCACCTAAAACAACAAAACAAACAACTCAGGAGTGCACCTAAAGTTCGTGTTTGCCTTTGTTTTGGTGCATGTGCATGTTTTGCGCATCTGGTGGGTTTCTTTCTTGTTTTTGTTGGTGCCTGTGCAGGTTGGGCAACTCTGACCTCACAAAATTCAGACAGGCACCACCAAAAACAAGCAAGTAACAAAGCTTAATTGTCATCAAACCTGAGATGACTTTTACCTTTACTTCATCCAACCATTATGTCTTGAGGTTTCTGCACCATCAACTGAGCTTCATTGCAGGCTAGATCATATACGATTCCAAAATCCGATCCGACAATGTGTTTAGGCAAGTAACTAAGCGCGCCAATGTCATAGATACACAGGTACCTAGCTCTGACTTAACACAGGTCACTTGACCTTAATAGTCAACCATATGGCACACTGCTCTCTCTCTCTCCCTCTCTCCCGCTCTCGTTCTCTTTTCAATCCTGAAAATTAGTCTGCCAACGAGGCTCTGCAACATAAGATTTACGTGTAGAATGAGAAACAGGACATGTACACAACTTCTTCATTATTACCCTCACTGCATCAAGTGATAGCTTCTGTTTGATGGTAAGTGCAGGCTAGATCATGTATGTTTGGATCCTGAAGCCAATCTAAGGATGAATTTCAAAGAAGCAAGAACACCACGATGTTGAAATATGTTGAAATAGCTCTTTGGGCATACAATGAGCACTGAGTCAAACATGTAAAAGTGCACCACGGACCTTAGGCCACACCCACTCCTTGCATTGACCATGACTAATTTCATTGCAGGGTATGGCTGGGGAAAAAAATGTCCACATACCCACAAGGCTTTGCAAGGTAAAAATGACAAACAGGTCATGTAGTCAGATTCTTGAGTTGTAACATGCGTACCATCATTTCTATTTGGAGTGTTAGATATGCCTGCATATATCCCTATGCACATCTACATGTTTATTTTCAGTAAACTGTCGCAATTGCAAATGACTCTATATATAATGTGTATATATATGTATATATGTACACACATATTTCTGTGTCGAGATGATACCACTAAAGGAAGTTCATGAAGAAACCACTGTATCATATCAATTCTTTGTAGCAATAGAATTTCTCAATCACCTCTATCACACTAGCCATCTATTGATCTTCTATTCCAAGATGCAAAAATCACACATTTTTGTGGCATGTGGTGCAGCAGGTGCTTTTATATTATGGTTTTTAGCCCGTACAAGTCATTGCATGAGGTTCTTTGCAAGCCTCAGAAGGAAAAGTATAATTCTATCACAAAAGTCTGTGGATACCACGAATCTATAGCAAATATATGACAGCCGCCTTGCCGGTGAAACGTATTTTTTCTCTCAAACCTAGGTCTCAGACCCCTTTTCACCAGTGTTCTCACTATCCCCAAACGTGTGGTTTCCAACGATTTAAAGCGCCAAACCTCCGCCGAAGCACGGAAAGCTGCGGGGCTCCGCAGATGGCAACAGCAGATCCAAACACAGCGGCACCGAGACGCCCCAAACTTGCGCCTGAGCGAAGCGAAACGCCCAGGCAATGCTGCAGCGAAACGCCATGGGGCTGGGAGATCAGTATGGAATATTGGAATGTCGTGACTGTCATATCACAATTAATTGTAATTGTTTAATATTAATATATATTGCAATATGTAATACCATGTTACAATGTTGATATCGTAATATTGCAGTATTGGGAGATCATGATGATGTTGGGATTGAATATTACAATGGAATATCAATGGAAATATCCCAATACAAATGGAAATATACCAATATCAATATCGTGATATCATCGGAATATACAGGAATGGGATATGTTTGAGAATATAATCAACAATACAAGGAAAAAAAACAATGGAACAACCATACAATAATGAAACAACAATAAAAAACCAAACAATAATCATGAAAGTTAATGGACAAACCACACAATAATGCAAAAACAATAGAAAAATACAAACAACAATGGGGATATGCCGGGGATTAACTGGGATATAAGAGGCATAAACATAATGCGGGTATCATAGAATGTAGCAACAATCATGGGAAAACCTAACAATGATGGGGATGTATGTGATAGGGATTCAATGGGATATCTTTGGGGAATGTAATTCATCAACAATACGAGGGTATTCATGAACTTACCCTCTGGTAATTTAACATAGCTATTGAAAATGGCCATTTATAGTGGATTTTCCCATTGAAAATGGTGATTTTCCATAGTTATGTTAGTTTACCAGAGGGTACTCAACCTGGCATCCATGAATTCTTGGCTGGTGAAGAACGGGATTCCCAGCGAATTATGATGACCCCAATATTAATTGGGTAGATTACTACTACACACCCTGTAAAAAAATCAATTGACTGTGGTTTAAACAATGCTCATTCAATGTTGGATTACATCCTATTTATATACCCATATACTTGGAGATGTGTGATTTTTTTTTTGCGATCCCACCGCAATCATCATTGGGATGTTTATCCCACCAATTAGCGGGAGATATTCCACAACTGGGTCACCGTTTCTATATATATATACATACGTATATGTGTGTGTGCAATCTGATCTTGATATTATCATGACCAATGATGGGTACCTGTATGGATCAATTTTAATGGATCTTGCCCACCATACGCAGGGTTTTAATAGGGCTTGAATGGACATTTCATTTATTGCAATATATTGCAATGGTATACAATGTGGGATCCACCATTAGGGCAAAATTTAACCACTCAACTACTTTTGCGAATGTTCAATTTCACCACCCACGGATTCTTGAGGGAGTTGGCCGAATCCCCATTTCTGCGACCTTGGTGAATATGAGAAATCCGTGGGGCCACATATTGGAAGTATCTAAGAGGGAGACAGGATTGCCCTCCGAGATGAAATTGGATGTGACCCTGGCCATAGTGACCACGCACATGTTTGGTCAGCCTGAAAGTGAAACAGACTTTGTTCACTTGGCTTGGAAATGGAAAACCCGACATGAACTGCCAATTTTCCTAGGACTCCGGACTTATAAATGAACATGGATGAACATCGTATACTGCCAAGTAAGTGAAAGTTGAAAGGAAATTGAATGTGGTAAACCCAATACTAAGCCAAACTCAACAACCAACTAGTTGGGGGTTCAATAATAAACTATCCCAAATCGCAAACAATGGGTTTTTCCTCATCAGACCTGTGTCATGGGGCATCCCGTTGGGTCCGTCGGCCACAAACGAGCGGCCTCGGCAAACTGAAGATTCGTGAAGGTGACCCGATCCACCTGACGAGGACGTAGCCGCTGAAACATTTGAGTTTCACGAAGAAACTGGTGAAATGGGTATGTATATATACATATGAATAATATATAATATGGCCAAGGTAAATGTATATGTATCATTATTTATCTATGTTATCTATCTATTTATATAGAACCCACAGGTAACTGTGGTATAATGTGCTTATTACTGCCCACTTCCCAACTGGGATGCACCCCCAATAACCCATTAAAATTTGTTCGAAAATGAGAACCCCTTCAATCCAATGGATCAAACATGTCAAAACCTCAGTTACCCTCTGGTAATTTAACGTAGCTATTGAAAATGGCCATAGAAATAGTGGATTTTCCCATGAAAAATGGTGATTTTCAAGTTCGCCATGTTAAATTACCAGAGGTATCCATTCATTATATGGGACACAACATCCCCCCAACATGTTTGGACCGATTTTCGACGCCAAGTCGTATTTTTTTTCCACAACCCAAGAGTTGTAGTCTTCCAAAGCCATTTCGGCAGGGTCTTCACGTTACTTGGGGGCAAGTTGACGATTTTCTTTAAACATGGATCCAGCTGGTGTTGATGTTCATCCCCCCTTTGGCCCATATGTATTCACCATTTAATGATCTACATGTTTCAGCAATGCGGAAAAAACTGCTAATGGTAATCATCACATCAGATGCATCTGAGGAACATTGGGTTTGCATTCTGCTAGCAGTTGGCGGCCAGGCAAATAGAACCTTTCGCAGATTGCGGAGGAGGACGTGGTAGACAGAAGTGCGTTTCTGGTGTTCATTCAGTTCCATACAGGAAGGAACCCCCAGTGAAATATGTATTGGTTGATGTTACCCCATATAAATATATAATTTGTTCGTTTTTTTACATGAAATACACCCCAGTTAAAGCTGGTTATAATCCAACCTAGCCTAGCTATCCTATCTTCAAATGGGGCACTCACAACTACCTCTGTCCAAGTACCCGAATATCCCTCATTTACCCAGATCATGCTTGATCTTAGATACGCTGACCCCTGAACAAAGCTGTAAGGGAAGAGTAGTAGACTACCCTTCATCAGTCTGATTGCCTATATACATGATGATGATGATGATGATGATGATGATGATAAAAATATAAACAATAATAATAATATTAATAATATTATATATTATATTATATACTGTAGATCTTCACCATTTGTGCTCGTGATTTCCTGTTTCTCCCTGTAAATCCTCCAGTCTTCTTAATTCTGTCAGCATTTTTGTTGGTAAAACTTTGGTAAAACCCAAGAAAGGCATTCGCCACCCACTGACCCTCCACCTCTCGGCCTTGATTTATATCAGGTTTGTATATTTATATATACTGGTTGGTGGTTTCAACCCCTCTGAAAAATATGAGTTCGTCAGTTGGGATGATGACATTCCCAATATATGGAAAGTCATAAAATTCCATGGTTCCAGTCACCACCAACCAGATATTTCATTAACCATTATTAACCACTATTAACCACTATTAATTGGGAAACCACTATGATTGTTCCAGTCACCACCAAGCAGATCATCGAAATTTCCCATTCGTGCCATGGTGAATCACCACGGGGGTTTCAGAAGGAGGTCATCCCCATGTTCCATATCCAACTTTCGATCGTGGCACTGCCATGAGTATCATTTCAATCGATCCTATAGATATGGTATCTATATATGGTATATGGTATATATGAGTAGCATCCTAAAAGATATGGTATATTTGATCTAATCCACATATGATATATAAGTTCCATTTCCCCACTTAGATCATATCTTTGACACAAAAGGTGCATAATTCTCTGAGTAAGTTGGTTATACCTCCAATCGACTGGACTAACCCGTTGTACAGTACCCTCTGGTAATTTAACATAGCTATTGAAAATGACCATAGAAATAGTGGATTTTCCCATTGAAAATGGTGATTTTCTATAGTTATGTTAGTTTACCAGAGGGTAACTCACACAAGTGGTGGAACCACCAAGTGTCAAATGCAACACCGAGGTGGGACATCATCAGAAACTCTCCCATCTGACATACTGCACTGGTGGGTTAATAGCCATACAATGTGGGTGTATAAACTGCTCAACCACGTACAAGCTACTTGGATCAAACAAACGTAGCCCAACCATCATGTATCCATGTTGTATTTACCTTGTTTGTGGTTGAACGGATATTTGTAGGTGACATGCCCTTTTCTGCTTGATTGAATCTTTGTTTTTGTTGGCTTCACACGATGTTTGGTGTCCAACCCCCCAAACGATTCATCAATGTCTGTTGGTTAAATCCCATTGCTGATCGCTAAATCAAGTGATATCAAGTGTAAATGGGGTTTTCACCAGTTCTCTAAACAATCTTCAAACCATCTGAACCCCACCTATCCCCTTTTTTGTGCTGATTAATACCCATAGCCCTTACCTTTGATTCGCCAACGATTGGTTCCAAACGTTCGGTGGCTCACCTTGATCTGTCGATCCCGCCCGTCGCCTGAAGAGACCAGATGGCTAGCAGGATTCCATCATCGAAGTAAATGAAGGATGTCCAAATGTTATGAACTTGCAGTTATATAATGGAACTGTTCATAACAGTTATTTATGTCCAGTAATAATGATTATTTTATCAATTAACTAATGACAGTTCCATTAGAAAAATAATGGCTACTATAAATCAAACTGGCCAATTTATCCAGATGTCGAAGTAAATGTCCAGTTATGTTATGTTTGATATTGTTTGATTACGTCGGACAGTACCATTAAATGTGATTTTACCAAATAAACATGCGGGATACAATGAGCATGTCATCGGGACATGATGAGGATAGAATTCAGAATGTTTTTCATGATTCTCGGGATACCATCGATGGTATCTGCCTGAGTTAGAACAATTCACTAATCTGAAAGAAGGCTATTTTGGGATAGTTAGAGTCAGTTAGAGTATGTTAGATTAATTACCCGTTTTTTCTAACCAGTACTGAGGCCAAGTCGCGACATGGGGTCGCGACATGATCCAGAAACATGGAACTTGCAAGTTGTGATATTAATGATATCAGCAAAAAAAATAGAGACAGCGATAGATGAGAGAGATTGGAGTGACTGTAAGGTAGAATTTTTCCACGCATTAACGGAGTGTCTTGCCATGAAACTGGCACTTCATGTATACCCTCTGGTAAACTGTTACATAACTATGGAAAACCACCATTTTTAATGGGAAAACTCACTATAAATCACCATTTTCAATAGCAAACTGTTAAATTACCAGAGGGTAGGTGTTCCCTTCAACCTGAACCAATTCCCAGAGATCCTGGTTGTGCACTTTGGGGGTTCACCAGAGGGCAGATGTCACAAGATGAGGTGCACCCAAAAAACAATGGGTTTAACCTGGTTTAACTGACATTTACCATCTGGTTATTTAACATAGCCATGGAAAATCACCATTTTTAATAGGTAAACCCAGGTAAACCATCTATAAATGGGCCATTTTCCATGGCTATGTTAAATAGCCAGAGGGTAACTGATGAAAACAGAGTGATTGAACACAACAAACATCAGAATTGCAGGAAGAGTCAAGCAGCTATGCTGGTCGGTCAAGGGTTTTCAATGCTTCACAAGATGGGAAAGCTCTGCTGAGTTGCTGCCCGTTGCGCTTACATCCATATACATGAGGAATATGCGGTCCACACGTGAAATTGTAAAAAAATGACGCCTGGTATCATCTAGGCAATGTAGAATCAGCAACCAATCATATTAACTGGTTATGACTGATTCATATCGCAAGTCTTTTGGCACTCTCTCACATTTTCTCCTTGCAAAGTCTCAATGCCAATGACTATGTAAGGTTATTTCCGTATTTATGTTGCTTGTATCAATCGCATTCTATTGAATCAAGAAATCCCCGTTGTCGTTGGTTTCTAAGTCAAGGGTGTCAAGGGTATATCCCTCTCTGGTTGGTGAATGAATCCGACAACTTTTGATGCTTAATTCAATTTATTCTGCATCTTTGCTGGTCATGTGTGTTCATATCAAATTCCAAACAAATATCCTACTGGCCAGATTTATTGCCATTTTTAGAGTATGCCGCCTGTTCTGCGATTTACTGGCTAAGAATCAATATCGTCACATTATTGATGAAACCCTTCTATTTCTTTCAGTCCTTATGTGCGCCGATCAAACCTTATATATTCTTTGCTAGATAAATCATTCCACTCTCATTGATAAAAATCTGTCGTTTGTTGATTCAGTCCTAGTTTTTTTGCACTCAAGCGCCAAACTTTCATGGTGAAATCAGTGTTTTCCATCAGGGAAATTCAATTCATAATGCTAGGACTTGATGGGAAAATCTGCAGGAAAACCCTATATCGCCGACAACCGTGGTTTCCTGTAGATTCTCTCTTATATAAACCAATCCATTGAAACTCCAATTTCCAGTCCAGAAAACAAACAAATACATCCCGTAGTCCCTTTATTTGGTGGATTTTGGTGGTTAACCCACCATTTGTATCCATTTCTTATGTTTTTTCACCGGCATTTTTCATCCAACCCATTGATATTCCGCGGTGAAATTGAGGTTTTCAGACGGGGCACTGTTTCGTCTGCACCTCAGTTTCAATCGGGTGGATCTATGGCTTAAATATGCTTAAATCATCTACAGGATGGGGCCCCCAGTGATGTGAACGTTGGTTTATAAACCATTATTATTCCCATTAACTAGTTCGTTATATCTACCATAAACATCCATAAACCATAGTGAACCCACTTATAAACCAACTTAGCTATCTTGGGGGCCCCATCATCTATGGAAGGTGGTTTTAATATATGGTTGATCCGAAGAATTGGTTCAGTGTTAAATTAAATATTGCTGAATAATCAACAAATGTTGGTGTTAATTTTCTGTTTCAATCAGAACAAATGGAAATACACACCACAAATAATGGCGGTTAAAATAACTTTCGTCAGAATCAATGCGATTGACACAATAAAACCATGGTTTTTTTAACCTCGAAAGATCTCCACCGAAAACCCGGCTGGAAGAATCCCCCAGCACACCATTTTTGTGTCAACATGTTCCACTGGGAATCCCAGGATCAAAAAAAATGGAGGTACTGTGCCTGAAAAATAGGCCTTATTAATATGGAATCGGTAGCTCCAATAAATCGGTTCCTGAAATGGCCATTGAACATTTTCGACAAGTCGCTGGAGTCACTTGAGTCGGTGACCCCATTGAGTTATGACACCGATCATCCCGTCGAAGTTCCATGGCTGAGTTTGTCCTGTGGAAAAGGTATACAAAAAAAACATGTAGCAAAATAAAACATATTTAAAACATATTTAAATCATGTAATTATATATTATTATATCCAGATGCTGCAAAAACTATCAAGAATCAATGAGTCTATCACTAAGGTTTACGAATTGATTGTGGAAGCTCCTCAAGTTGCCTCTATCGTGTAGCCCAACTCATCGGTCCTTTTGGATGTGCAACCCCCGGGAGTGACTGGTTCACCGGGGGTTAGCCTCTAAATCATCCATTTCATTAGGATGGTCCATTATGAATCAATCATTTTGGGGATCCCCCATTTATGGAAACCCCCAGCGCTGGCTTTCTCTGAAAATTGGGAATACCCCCAATATCTATGACCATTTAATGAGAAAAGTATTGGATAGTATTGGTATGTCCGGCCAGGTATAAGTTGCTTTGCAGACCCATCGAACAAAGGCTGTTTTTAGCGGGGCACCGACGGGCGTCCGTTGCATTTTCAGAGCCGTATTGGAATTCCTGGCACAATTTACGTGACTAACTAATGTACCTATCATAGGTCGATAATGAACCGTGACCACCCTTCGCTCAAACAAAGCCAAGGCTATCCGAAACGGCTGCCATGTAATTACATCATTGGGGCTGCATTCCGCCGGATGATGTGCCATGGACATAGCGTACCAAACTACTGGAGATGAAGTCATAGGGTCGTGTGTCTGAACATGGGGTCTAGCCCAAAGAAAAACAACATGAAGCCAGTGGATTTTGGGGCTACACATGCTACACCATTCTCAGGCTTCTCAGCAAGGCACTTGCGAGGCGCTGTTCGCACTTGCCTCCATGACCTGCACATTTTCAAATGACCGTGGCACATCCTTCGGCTCAGCTGGTAGCGATTCATGGCAAACAAAGTAGCCACTCATCAACTGACCAAAAAACAACTTTGACCCATGGAAAAACTACGAAAACTGCTGAATTCCTCATGTTCACTCCTTAAATAATCCTTCAAAGTTCTTGTTGAACTCGCCATTTTTGTTGGTGAACTTCACCCACCAATCACTTGGTACGAGTAAATCCAACCCGCACCTTTCCCGTCGGCACAGGCATGGCAGCAATACTGTGGATGCCATGTGGCTTCAAACGCACAGCCCTGGCATTACGTCAATCATCTATAAATGAAGGGCTTGGCAAGAAGATAAACTTGATTATGGGTGGTGCAAACAAACCATACCCGGAGAGTGGGATATGATTCTGGGCATTTGGCAAAAATATTGAGATGGTCTATCCCGTATACCATCATTCCCAGGTTGGAGAACGACGTGAGGTGTATTAGGTCACCTTGAAAAGGGGCTCGAAAAACGTGATGGGAGGGTGGCCTAGACGAGGGTGATGTTTTATCAGTGACAAATGGGGACTGTGACAATGGGATATCTTATGTTTATTTGGTGTAGAATTGATTGTGGTGAAGTGCGAAAACCATCAATTTCATGGTCTGAATTTGGCAACAATCTGGAGGTTTTTGTCACCAAGGATTTAAGCCGGGGATTTTTTTTGGCATTCAATAGATTTCAATAGGTGTATATGATGGGATATAAAAAAAAGAACAATATATTAGGAGCACATGAGAATTCACCTACAGTTTATGGTATATAACTTCAATACGGAAAATTATGATTCACCAGGGGTTGCGATGGGATGCCAGATTTTCAAACAAAGTCATCCTAAGAAGACTGGTTGGTGGTTGAGCCAACCCTCTGAAAAATATGAAAGTCAATTGGGATGATTATTCCCAATATATGGAAAAATAAAAAATGTTCCAAACCACCAACCAGAAGAAAACTGCACACATAATACTTGAAATTTGACTTTCTCTTCATGTCAGAAGTCAGAAGTATCTGCTGAAGATTTCGTCTGGTTTTCGCGATTGATCCCCAGATTGCTAAGGATTCTCCATCTGCCTCCCTATGGAGTTTGAATCTGATTTTCCATATCCAAGTTCTGCTACCATGGTGCCATGTTTCAGAGGCTGACGCAAATGACACATTGTTGTAGTTTTAAGTTCCTACGATCCTTATGCCCTAGTTGTGTGGATTCAATGGTTGATTACATGATCAAATCTTGAGTTGTGTGTACCAAAAAAAACCTAATAAAACCCTGTGCATTTATGCAACTTACCAACACTCAATCTAATATGGAACAAAATGAGTCTTGTCTTGGAAAAAGAGCATGGTTATTGACCTGTGCAATAACCAGAATAAAGAACAAATAGTCAGGTGGATATGGAACATGAAAACCGTTCATCCCAATTTCAAGAAAGTCTTACAACCGCAGCTCATGGCAGGGTCCATGCTGCTAGTTAGAGGGAGAAAAATCATTGAATAGCCATGAAAATCACAATAGTACCCTCTGGTAATTTAACGTAGCTATTGAAAATGACCGTTAATAGTGGATTTTCCCATTAAAAATGGTGATTTTCCATAGCTATGTTAGTTTACCAGAGGGTACCCATGAATCACAGTAGTACTCCCATAATTTATTCCAACTAACCATTCACTCTCCGGGGAAATTTGCACGTCTTCATTCCCCAGTTGTCCATCAGCAATCACTAGCCATTAATCATGAAGAATCTTTGTGGAGCAGTGAAACCCTCCACCAGATTAACATAGACCTGAAATAAGTAATTGTTAGTGAAAAGTAATCTTCCAACCCCCCTATTTGGCAGGGTTTATGTTAATTTACAGGAGGCTTTGCCACAGCCAGGACTCCCCGTTTCCAGACGTCCCGTGCACGGATGGGTATGGACAACCATTACAGTACTAAAATAGGTACTTAATCCGCCGGGGACATCTCCAAAGGGTTATACATATCTATCTGCCAGTATATGTATATATATATTATAATTATATATACAGATGTATACATGTTCATATGTATGTATACGCAAATAATTCCACAACATACATGGATTTGTATCAGATGTATATCCGTATTCTGTATGTGCATATATATATATTTATACAGTATATATAATATACGTATATAAACCCTAGCACTCCAAATACACTCTGAGATGTGTATATTATATATATATAATCCCACAATTATGCCCCCATTGTTTTATATCTCTTCAATTTCCTCAATCTCCTATTCGTTGAAATGGCGCCTCGGTGGCACAGCGCTTGGGCATCTCTAGCTTTTCACAGCGCGGCCCATGAGGGGCGCCACTGGCACAGGCGCCTGGGTATTTGGAAGTTGCCAAGTGGATGTCATGGGATGGGCCTGGGATAAGGTTGTTGATTATTTATATATATATACATAATTATATATATATATCTATATATATATAACTATATATACATATCTATATATATATGTCTATATATACATATCTATATATATATATGTCTATATATATATATATGTCTATATATATATGTCTATATATATCTATATATATATGGTTGGTGGTATACCTACCCCTCTGAAAAATATGAAAGTCAATGGGAAGGATTATCCCATATATTGTGGAAAATACAAAAAATGTTCCAAACCACCAACCAGATATATATTCGGAGACCTTTGCAGTGCCGTGTTTCATATCGGAGCTTTGGTCCGTCTATGTCAAATGGACAAGATTCATGGTGTCCTCGTTTTCCGCTACAATTCTTATATTTATTATTATTTATTGGCGGTCACTGCCATTTCAAAATCCAGGTTCAAGCTCAGAGGCGTTCAATCTTCATCAAACATGCCTACTGGAAAATCATGGAAATCCACCGCTTCAGTGGTTTTCCCAGCTCTAAGTTCGATGACGCCGATCTACAACGGATTTCCTCCCAGTGTCCCTTGATGGGAGGATCTGTTCACACCGAGGAAGGCCAAGTCACTGCAGCAATGCGTCGCATGCCACGTGACTTGAAAGTTGCAACCTGCCGTGGTACTGGGCGGCCCCAGTTATGCTCCGGGAAGCCGTACCGAAATGAGACCATGAGCGAGAAAGGATGTGAAGATATGTGTAGGACTCTCTCTCTCTCTTTCTCTCTCTCTCTCTCTCTCTCTCTCTCCATGTTCCTATAATGTCCTATCTATGTATTATATGAATGCATATATAAATATATATACATACAATTATAAATCGATCATTGTGTATAATTAATTATAACCACCGTGCAAACGGATTGCAAGAATAATTACGCCAGAACTGTGTTTATTATGATACAATTGTGCGTAAAACAAGTGTGTAAGGCCGCTTTTGTTGGCGAAACCTCGGTTCTTGTTGCCTAAAATCATCATGATGCCTGATATGGTTGGTTATATCATGGGTTATATCATGTTATATCCCATAAAACATACCCAATACACCCCATAAATATCCCACAAAATACTCCCATTATATCCCCAATACATCCAAATTTTCCTCGCCTTCAACGACAACCCGCAGCTCCACAACCCGCCCGGCCCGGCCTACTGCAGCACACTTCTGGCGTTTGGCGGATGGATAGGCCTGGCAGGGTACATATGGAGGTTTCCTGAAATGGGGGTACCTCGAAATCATCCATTTTACCATTTTAGATTGGGATTTTCCATTAACAATCCAGCGAGCTTGGGGTAGCCTCATTTGAGGAAACCCCCCCAAATTGGGGAAATGATGATGCACTTCCCATTTTATGGGCATGCGATGCGGATTTTTCATGGGGATATAAACCAACAATATATAGTTCTTGGATCTGAAAACGGAGGATACTGGAGGATACCTCAAAATTAGCGCGGATCCCTTAGGGAAAATGATGATTCACCATCAAACTTATGGAATACCACATTTTCAGCTAAAACCCAGATTGGGAAATGGAAAAGACAAGGTGGTGGCCCGCAGTTACCATTGTGTAATCATGGCTATACCCCCAAGACCAAGCCGCAAAACCAACCAAAATCGAAGTTAGTTGAAGGAACTCAAGACCCAAGATGTGGCAAACTGATTTCCAACGAATGGATATAACAGGTTTGGAACCCTGAAACAACAAATCAAGAAACAGGATGATGCTTAATAAACTTATTACATGTGGTCGGTAAATTCCCACGTAAACATTGCCAAGTTTTGATTCATTGCAAAGATTTAGTATTTGGCTGGAAGACATTCCAATCAAACTGGCAAAAGCTTAAAGTATCAGATTACCCAAGGTGGTTAAATCCCTGTGTGTTTGATTAAATCAATTGAATCAGTGTGCTTCTCTGTCAAATCACAATGGTTCTTGGTTAAATATGTTAAATTATAATTAAAATGTAAATCCCTCCTTTTTCTAATTCAAGTGAAGAATCCCAAGTGTATCCAAGTGTGAATCAATAACAAAAAGTTCTTGGTTTTCCATCGTTTCTGTCGCTTAAAATCATGTTGAGTCCCAGCTCCCAGCTCAGGGGCTCCCCGCCCACATGGATCGCGAAGCAGTGGGCCCCATGAAGCTGCCGGAACATCAACAGAAATATCAGATGTCATATATGTAATATATATGTTCAATGATTTTCACATAATTTTTTGGTGTATCATAAGTCTTCTCTATACAGATTATATACACACCCAGTGGTGGGATGTATGTTGATAACGTGATGATAACATGATAAACTGGTATCCCAGTGGCACGATTACATGGGACAGAAGTCGCATCATGTCAGCATCATCTTCTTGGGGGGATGATACTAATGGATAGAATGGGCATATATTTTTTGGATATATTGGCATATTGGGGATGTAGTTGGATAAACCTCAGTTAATATGTAGTTAACATATGTTAACATATGTTAATGTGGTTGTTCAATTGTTCATGGATAAACAACTTGTCCGGATACGTCTCACATGGCGTCCGCAGGACTGTCACTCAAGTTTTAAACGAGCTCTCTTTTGGAGGGCCAATAGTTTTGAGCCATAGCCATAAAGAGATGAAACATCTGAATTATTGACAATGAAAATGAAACCTAAATTTAACATAGCTGAACATGGAACTTCACATGTTTAACGGGTAAATCATCGAACGGCTTGCATAGCCATGTAACAAACTACCAAAGGGTCTTCACACTGAGATCTACCATGCCTCCGTTCCTCCGTTCTTGTTTGAGGCAGGGAAGTGAAGCAGGTAGATAGTTCTTACATTGTGATCCAACTGAAGTGATTGGATATGTATAGTGTATATTTATATCATAATATGTCTAGATATATAAATGATCTATTATTAATATACATATATATATATACAATATTGTAAATGTCTGTATATATAAACATCGTGATATATGTGATCTGATGTGGTATACTATGCTATGCCATGCTATGCCATGCTATGATATGATATATGATATTATATGACATGATAGGATAGATATGGTATGATATGATATGATATGATATGATATGATATGATATCACATGATATGATATGATAGGATAGGATATGTTTGATAAATGCGGCCATAGAGGACAATACAAAGCGCTTAAAGGCAATAGAATCCTCAAACATGCTGGCCGTGGCCACTCTTGGATAGCCTGCCAAAAAATGCTGGTTTTGGTATACGGTAGATGCCTATCTATAGCAAAATCGTCGAGTACTAGATCTGGTCGGTGGCTCTAATCACTTTAATCCATTCAAGAAAAAAAACAAACATATTATATAGTCATCCCAACCAATCATCCTTTTCGTATGGTTGAAAAACAATGTTTGTTTGTCCCGCCAATCGGATCTTAATGGTTTTTAAGGGCTAATCCAATGGTTTGCAAAAGTTCAATAGTCAATATATCAAAATTTTGAATCCCCCAACCAGAATGTAAACTATCATAAACTATCCATCTCAGCGGTTTCCCCCCGAGATATCCACGATCCATGTCCTCAAAAGCGGAGAGACCTTTGTGCGTCTCCTCATCGATGTGGAAAGCCCATGGTTTCCCCTTCAAAAGCTCATCGACAAATGCTGGGTTTTCCACATGTTTAGTGGAGGCTACTTGATGGCTCATCCCACTTAGTAAGTAGGTTGTAACCCCAGTGATTTCAGTGGATTAACCCTACTTATCCCATGTAAATCACTGGGGTTATAACCCACTTACTAAGTGGGATGAGCCACCAAGTACCCTGGAAGAGTAGATCAAACCTGAATTGATCACCCGTTTTTCGTTGCTGTGAAGCAATCTTGGTCTTTCTGAACTTCGCTCGAAATAATTCTGCTGCCAACTATATATATCAACATAGATAGTACCGATTCAAAATGTGATCACCCTGATAATTTCATTAGGACTCATCATGGGTTATGTTCTTGTCTACATTCTTTTTATCTATTGACTCTCTATGTTGAGTCGCTACCTGGCACCACTAATTACTGCTGCTAGGTGCCCATGCCGTCCCATTGTTGCCTCAGTCCCCACTACTTGCGGAAGTATTCTACTTTGCCCACTTAATAAGTTCTCCATTGATCTAGTAATCCAATTTCTATCTGGTGAAACCAACGAACACGAACCATGGATACCATTTCTTGGATGATCCATCATCAAGTTACTGGAACGATCCCCTCAATGGTTGACTCCCTATGTTTGATGCTTAAATATTCATCACCAATTGTTGCAGATGGCGAATTCCCAACATGGTAAGTTCAGAAAATGTCCCAATTTTCCGTGTAAATCAGAATATTCCATTAACCTGAATAGTTCGGCCACTAATTTGGGGATGATTTCCAGGCTTCGAACAGGCTTCGGTCGTGATGAAATTCACCCAAAATTTGGGTGAAAAGTCATCCCTACCCGTCCTTGGCGAAGGGCGGCGCGAAGCGCTCAACTCGCTCGACCCGCTCTGGGGGATGGAAAGCTTCGTTGGGCGCCTGCTTTCACCGGCACAGCCATGATTTTTTCAGCAACAAAGATGATCAAACGTGAGTGATTTGGCCGATTGAAATAGCATTTTCAGGAGAATCACAAAAAAAAACACTTGGAGATGTAATAGACTGGGGGTTCCATACGATTTCATAAGCAAAATAAGATAAGGCGTATTCATTCAAGAATATGTGAATATGAAAAATGGAAGCTTTATCAGCAAACTGTGCAGTGAAGCACTTCACTGCAAGAGTATGGGATTTTGCCATGATTATCCATCCAGTGTTTCTTAAGCCAACAACGTGAGATTGAGACATTAAAAGTGTTAAACTCATGAACCAAAATTGCATGAAGAGAACAATATTTTCAAGATTTGAAGCAGCCGCGCGATGAGGATTTAGAACTTTATATAATGAACTTTAGATGCCCCGCTTAAGAAATAATGGCTGAGCCACCTGCGTGAAAATGATCTAAAACATTGGATATATAGAAATAATCAACATTTCCCATCTGTTGAGAGCAAGGAAATCAGATCTTAAGTCACTAGCCATATGTTTTTTCCTGTAGGCCAGCAAACTTACCCGACGCTGGTGCACGTCCCATGGGTAGAATATACTACAGTATCTGGTGTTGTGAGGAAACAGGTTTGAAGCAAAAGCATATCATGGAGATGGAGGCTAAGCATATTGCCGGCTTTCCTTCAGCAAATGACATGCTTATATAGCCTAACTAGGATAATTTTCCCAAGTATATTAAGAAGAGATGGAAATTCAACAGGTTCCAAACCACACACACTGCAACTCTATGCATGGTTGACAGCAGCATTTATGAATCAATTCTATGACACATATTTCTGTCAGCCTGCAAAAACAAGTTCGAGATGTGTATCCCCCGCCTGCAAACTGGGTTTGATGATGTTTGATGGGTATCCAGTATCCACCCCGTAATTCTAATTAATATGGAATTCAAAATTGCTCTTAAAAAACAATGGTCTTCCAAGGGTTGTATATCATCCCATCACAAACCAAGATAGAAAATCTACGCCATCTCCATCCTGCCTTGGGTTTCTTGAGTTTTCGGAAAAGCCGACCTTGGTGGGAAACACCGCGCCGGTTTCCTCGTTCGGATGGACCAAAGTGGTTACTATTTTGGATGATCATCTTTCTTCACCATATGATCTTTCGACTTATCAAAATCATCGAAGGAAGTTTAGAAGTGAAACTTCCGACAATATGGACAGTTGAAAAGCAGAGGTGAGAAGAGTCAGAAGAGAAAAGATCAGAAGAAAGAAGAAGTAGATGCGCGAAAAGATAGGAAAGTCGCGATTCACTGTGTTTTTCCAATGATTTGTGGCTCCGGAGGGTCGAAAAGTAGGCTCGCTAAAGCGGCGGGTGCGGAGCCAGCTGGCCAGATGAGAGATGAAAAAGTGCACGCCTTCGTGGCGCGAAGCACATTTCCAAGTCAAAATGGACAAAACACTAGAGGATCGGACCACTTTTGGAAGTTGAGATGTCGAAAAAGTGCACGCCGTTGTGGCGCGAAGCACATTTCCAAGTCAAAAGTGTTAAAAACTGACAGTCTCGGACCACTTTTGGAAGTTGAGATGTCGAAAACGTGCACGCCGTTGTGGCGCGAAGCACATTTCCAAGTCAAAAGTGTTAAAAACTGACGGTCTCGGACCACTTTTGGAGGTTCAGATGTCGAAAAAGTGTCGAAAAAGTGCACGCCGTTGTGGCGCGAAGCACATTTCGAAGTCAAACGTGTAAAAAACTGAGGGTTTTGAGCCTTTTTTGACGTGAAGATGTCGAAAAAGTAGACACTGATGAACTTAACTAACTTAACTAACTTCACTAACTTTACCTTAACTTCGACGACAACAGCAACAGCAGCAACAACAACAACACCAACCACAACAACTACAACTACAACAACTACAACTACAACAACTACACAACAACTACAACTACAACTACGACTACGACTACAACTACAACTACAACTACACAACAACTACAACTAGAACTACAACTACAACAACTACAACTACAACAACAACAGCAACAACAACAACTACTACAACTACAACTACAACAACAGCAACAACAACAACTACAACTACAACAACTACAACTACAACGACAACGACAACTACAACTACAACTACTACTACTACTACTACTACTACTACTACTCCTACTCCTACTCCTACTCCTACTCCTACTCCTACTACACTACACAACAACTACAACCACACAACAACTACAACTACAACAACTACAACTACAACTACAAAACAACTACAGCTACAACTATATGACTGCAACTACACTACACTAATTACATTACACCACAACTACACCTCCACTACGCTACAACTACAACTACAGTTGCAGTACATCACACTACATCCAGCAGTTGTGGGTGAGGTGACCACTGCAACCATTGCAACCATTCCAGCAAACACAACTCCAACCCCCTTTCGGTCAATCAGTGGCTTCGCTCTGCCATCCCTGATTCACAACAACCAACTTCTCCTATAGGTTTCCTATTTTTGAAACTTCCGCCACCGCCTTGTGCGGTACTACTGGTAACATATCATATAACTATCAATTCTCTACT